ATGTTAGTTAACACCCACTAAGTTTTCGAAAATGATTTTTGAAAATTTCATTATGGTTTTTTGAAAAATTCGAAAATTCTGTAAAATCAAAGTGGGGTGTTACAGTTTGGTGGAGGAAAAGCTTGACAGCTTGGCTACAACTCAACCAAAATGCCTCTATTCTGAATGTTCTAAGAAGTGCATCTGACCATTCCATGATTCTCCTTGACTGTGGCAAGTTCAAACCAAAAAGCAAGAGGAGATTTAAATTTGATAACAGATGGTTAAAGATGGAGGGCATCTCTGAAGTCATCAACCAAGCATGGGCAATTCCCCAAACTGGCTCCCCTCTATTCATTCTGAAAGAAAAAGTGAAGGCTGGCAGAATAGCTTTACTCAAGTGGAGTTCTCAATCTCACTCTCTCAACAAAGCCAAAATCGAAGATATCTCAGCTAAATTAGAGAATTTGAGGGAAGAAGGAATGGCTGACCACTGGGAGGAATAGGAGAGTCTCACATTTGAATTAGAGGAAGCTCACAGACATGAGGAGCAATTTTGGAAACAGAGGGCTAAGATTCAGTGGTGGAAGGAGGGAAATGCCAATACTAAGTTCTTCCATGCCTATGTTAGACTCAGAAGAAAGCAAAATTCCATATCAAGATTGATTTATGGGAATAACCAGCCTGTCACTGATCTTGATGAAATCCAGAGGCACATTTTGGACTACTTTGCTTCTTTATTCAAATCTGAGGGCTCCTGGGGGGGGGGGTGATGCCTTGATTACTGATTCCTAAATCCATCAGTGATGATATGAACCAGCTATTATTGAAACCTGTGGGTGATAAGGAAATTCAAAATGCTCTGTTTAGCCTCCCTGCTGAAAAATCACCAGGTGAAGAAGGTATGAATGCCTCTTTCTATCAACACTTTTGGAAAATCATAAAACCTGACTTCATCCCAGCCATACAAAGCTTTTTTGACTCTGGATCCCTTTTGAAATACTGGAACCATACTCTTGTTACCCTAATCCCTAAATGCAAAAATCCAGAATTCCTTAGTCAATATAGACCAATCAGTCTCTGTACTGTTGTCTACAAAACCATCTCAAAAATTTTGGCTCTCAGACTCAAATCTTGCCTTGATTGTTGCATTAGTCCCTGTCAGTCTGCTTTCTTGCAAGGTAGGCAACTCTTGGACAATGTTATCATTGCCCATGAAGCCTACCATTTTATCAGCAGGCACAGATCCGGGAAAAACTTCTTTATGGCTCTCAAACTTGACCTTATGAAGGCATTTGACCGGGTTGAATAGGGCATCTTGCACAAAATAATGGTGAAAATGGGTTTTAACCTGTAGTTTATCAATCTTATTACCACCTGCCTTTCTTCTGCTACCTTTTCCTTCAATATCAATGGATCTACTGGTGGGTTTGTTAGTCCCTCGAGAGGAATTCAACAAGGAGACCCGCTTTCTCCTTATTTGTTTCTTATTATTGCTGAAATGCTCTCTGCTATGATCAAGGAAGCTGTGGATAATGGTTCTCTGTCTGGTATTACAATCTCAAGAGAAGGCCCTATTTTTTCTCATTTATTGTTTGCAGACGATGCCTTATTCTTTTGCAGAGTTGGAGTAGATCAATTCCAGGTGCTCACTTCTATTCTGGACAGATATTGTTTATTTACTGGTCAAAAAGTCCACTGGGGAAAATCTACTATTATTTTCAGTAAGAACACTCCTCTGTCTTTGCAACACAGCATCTGCAACAGCTTGCAAGTTATTAAACCTCACAATTCTTGTAGATATCTTGGACTTCCACTGGGCATTGGAAAGTCCAAGAGGGAGGCTTTTGATTATGTCTTGGAGGCAGTCAAAGCTAAATTATCTAGCTGGAAGAATAAATTGTTAACTGCTGCAGGCAAAGAAGTGCTTATAAAAGCTGTTTTGAGTGCACTTCCAATATTCACAATGGCTTGCTTTAAAATCCCTATTTTTGTAGCCAAGGAGATCTCAAGGCTTTGTGCACTTTTTTGGTGGTGTAAAGGAGATCAGCAAGATAAGGGACTGCACTGGAAATCTTGGGATTCCTTATCAATTCCCAAGAGTGATGGTGGTTTGGGTTTTATGGATGTGCTGCTATTTAACAAGGCTTTGATATGTAAACAGCTTTGGAGAAATTCCTCCCAACCTGACCTGCTTGTGAGTCAAATCTTAAAAGGTAGATATTTTCCCTCTTCTTCCATCTTTGAGGC